AAACACATGTGACCTGTTAATATTGATTTGTGACCTATAAAAAATGACTGTGACTTGTGAATTCAAACTTGTGACAATGATCTGACCTTAATGACGAATTAATTAGCCGCAGTTAACTATCAAATTAATTGATCGTACTGATCTGTGACCCATTTCTATTCATTTGTAACCTATACAAAATGACTGTGATTTGTGAACTCAAATCTGTGACCAGTAAACTATAACTTTAGTAACTCATTCATTCATTGGTGACATTCTCAAATTAATTGGTCACGCATTATTTTTTGTCACAACTCGATTACAGTGAGTCACAGTCACAATTTTAATTGGTCACACTCGATTACACCCACAAAATAATCACAGTCACCTTCAACCTCATATCGTCGACACGCCAGACGCCCACCGTCGCACCCACGCACACACAAACTAATCACGACCACCAACAATCACAGTCAACAATAACCACCCACAAAATAATCAGTGTCACCTCCAACCCTATCCTGTCAGCACGAACGACACCGCACCCAACACCGCACATCACCACCTCACCACCGTTAATAGTGTCAAATCCACCACCTCCCCAACGCCGGATCCACCACCAACAGTACCAGGTCTACCACATAACTGTACCCAACCACCGTTACCACCAAATCCACAAAATTGCCGCCATCGCCACAACAACATTACCAGAACTAGAACATCGCGGCATATCCAGTACCAGAACGTCGCCGCAGATCCGAACCTTCATGGAGGATGAAATCTTGTAAATCGGAACATCGAGTATCCCTAGCATCATCATGTGGAGCTTCTCCATCTAGTGGCGGTACTGCACCAAGGTCTTCGGAATGGATCCGCCGGAGCAGCGGTTGTACACAGAGAAGAGTGCGGAGAGAAGAGAATGAGGTGAGAGAACACGTTGAGAGAAGAGAAGAGGATGAAAATATTTCGATTAGGGTTTTGGTAATTATATTATGGTAGGTTTTGGTAATTATATTTATAATATATATAATTATAATATATCTAATTAAAAATATCTGATTTTTGAAAATTAAAAGTTCAGATCTGATTTTAGAATATAAATCTTGAAAAGTAGGGAATTGTGTAATTTTCGCTAATTATATATTATTTAGTAATTAATAACCTACTTGATTTACACGTATTGAGTGAATTCCTTATGATAATATTAAAACA